GGACCATGTGGAGCTGTGAGACAGTAAGGGCCTGAACACAGGGAGTTGAAGAATATGCACCGTTGGAGCCATTACCAAGAAACGACTGGCGAAGACACAGCAGACTGAGAAGAAAGAGTGCGCACCGAAGCGAATTACTGAGAGTGTGAATTAACAGAGTTGTAATTAATTGTATTTACGAGTTTCAAGAGTCCAGTACGTCTAATTACCAATCAAAACCCCCTGTATAGTCACTAAATACTCGTATGCGACAATATTAAACCTTTTAATTAATCTTATATGAATGAGTAAGGATCTGTTGGATTTATCTAGCTCACCATGAGGATAAATTGTGCATTCTTATGAACACAGTAATAAATAGACTTGAAAGGAATCTGACGATGGTGTATGCTGTACAGAACTATAAGGTTTATTTTGTACTGTATATACCAGACGATGAATAGAGCCTTATAGTTCTGTACGGTAATAAATCTTTGGGTTCCATGAGAGGTGGGATTTTTTTTTAACTACCCGAGTGAATATTAGTTTCTCGCGGACTGTGCTGCAAAGAGCCGGTGGTCCGAGTTATGTTGTTGACAGGCATTGCAGATGGTCTCTCTCGCGTAACACCCGGACCATGCTGGATGTGAGTTTAGAAATAATGTACACAGTCGCACTCTGGGCTATCTCGCCACCTGCACACGCTGGTTCCTCGCTCGCGGATTTTTCTACTCTGAAGATGGAGGCGATATGTTCCTCCGAAACATCAGTTCACACAAGATCTACACGGCGCCGCATCTCATAAGACAACGTTCTTCATAGTCACCGCTGTGAAAACCTCAGATCTTACAATAGCTGCTCTAGTTTGTTACTTACGTACGCGCTCTCTGCCCTCTCTGAAGCACTTACACCACTCAAACACACGGGTCCATGAGAGACACTCTTCCCCATACTGTTGTTGGAGCCTGTGGTGAATTTCAGCAGACGGGACGTTTTCTCCAACAAGGAATTTGATCACAATGTGTTGTTCCATGCTCCGCGGTACCTTCTGTTCGCTCATTATTCTAGCAACTCCCAGACAGGACTGAACAGGTTCTAACCCGAACAGGAGGGAGGGTGGAGGTTGTGGCTTCACTCTCTCAAGGTCGCACAGCTGCTGCGCATTGCGGCTTGTTTACACACAAATCAGTCCCGGTCATATTTGAACCACCTTGTATATATAGTAATTATGCATTTTAAACTGGATTTGTTATGAGTCGAACAAGAGAATAATTAAGAAACGAGAACTGGAAATGACGTCGAAAGAAGTGACCGTGCTCTATTTTAAGGCACTGTGCCGTATTTGCTTGGAGAGACAGAATTGATTTTCTTCAGTCCGGACTCCTAGAAGAACTCTAAAGTTAAACATCAACATGAGCTGAGTTAATCATTATGTTTATTTCATCGTTTGTATCATAATAGCATCTGTTACTCGGCGCTAATTAACCTCTTTGATTAATAGAGCGTCGTAAAATAACGCACTAAAAACAGGTGGTCAGTAAACTCGTGACTGTCTACTGATTATACGTCATTCCTTTTTCTGGCTTGAACCCCATAGAATCTTAAAGCGCTACATGTCGAGATCTGTTCGGGAAGTACTTCAATACGCTACTGAAGGAAGTCATAATAACTTTGGCTTTGTGAACATTTTCGTAACAAGTTGATTTTTTTTACGGTTAGGAGTTGTTAGCTCGACGCCCAACCCCCAAGCTGGAGGATAACCCCATTTCGGCTGTCCGCGACTGCATAATGAGGAGATTCATAACTTGTACGCTTCTCCAAGTGTAATTAGAATGATCAAGTCAAGGAGGATGAGGTGGGCAGGGTATGTAGCACAAATTGGGAGAGGAGAAATGCATATAGGATATTGATGGATAGCCGGAAGGAAGGAGACCACTGGGGAGACCAAGGTGTAGGTGGGCCCACAATATTAAAATCGAACTCAGAGAGATAGGATGAGATGTTATGGATTGGATTGACCTGGCTCAGGATAGGGACTGATGGAGGCCTCTTGTGAACACAGTAATGAATCTTCGGGTTCCATAAAATATTGGGAAGTTCTTGAGTGGCTGCACAATTGGCAGTTTCTCAAGAAGGGCTCAGCTCCGTGAGTGAGTCATTTTTAACTTAGAAAAAAAGGCATGTTTTATTTTAACAGACTTATATTGATAATTCACAGGTTTTCGTGGATTTCATCCTCACAATCTGCCACAAGAGAAATATTGTAGTGTTAAATTGTACAAAAAGAAGCAGGTTAGAAAGTCTGGAATACTTGTTCACCGTTGCAGGGGCATGACCTAACGCTGCATGTAATAATCAAACCTGAATTGCGTCATTATTTTTAAGAACTGGTTTTTAAAAGTCACACACAACCTTTAACAGAAGTATAAAACAATATACTCATAAAACGCATTTTTGTGTAACACTGATTGTTCACAGTTATTTGCTCCTAATACGTAATTCAAAAACGGTAGACGAAGGAGTCAGCAAAGTTCAGCTCATCTCGTGTTGAAACTTTATGCATTCAGACAATATATATATATATATATAATTACACATGCCCTGTTTTAACACGCACCGGTGATCCAAACGATGAACAAAGAGCGCGGACATCTGCTCGCTTCAGTAAGCCATTTCCGCCGGAAGTTGTCACTACATAAACTTTTGAACGTTTTAGAAAAGTGATCTGAATTGCACAGGGCTATGAAAGAACAGTTATAGTGTTAACTGTTTACGATTATATGCAGAACCAGATAAAAGTTATATAAAGCACGTCGGTTGTGGGTACGTAAACAAGTAATTGAAACGATATAACCTTCCTCCCTCACCAAAAGATTTAGCATCTAGAGAACACGAAAGGCAGAAGCTTCCACTCCACAAAGACCTCCTGCAGCGAGCGATGAACGAGTTCTGAAGACGGCCGCACAGTCGCTGACTTTCGACTCTCAAGGATCACACCTCACACTCTTGAAGACCAGCAGCTACCTACACACAGTTATGGCAATTCTGCGTTTTGAGTGCCGCTGAAGTTACTAATCTGCTTTTGTTTTACAACAAATGAACAACTGACTGACCGCAGGTTTTAAAACGATTTTTGAACTATTAAAATATCTCCAGTAATTTTATAATCTCGGAGGAATTCTGATAAAGAGATTGATTTAATTTACGATGAAAATAACTTACTCTTTTGCTTGATAGATGGACAGCTTTAAGACTTAATTTTAAAGTGGTATTATATACGTCTGTAAATTAGTTTCGCAATTTCGATAATTCATTTAATTAAATCTTCGAATAGGTCCAATCAGTAAATGCAAGTGTGGACATTTAAATTCCGAAGTGGCATATTCAGAGAGTACGTGGACAAATTAAAATGGTTTACGCTTCATACTTAAACCTCCTATGCCGGAATTTATAAGGAAATTACTCGTATTAGTGAATCGAAGCATTCAGATGCGTTTTCCTCGCAGTCTGCCAATCAAAAATTCTTTGTACACCGTGCAATTGTCTGCTTCTATTCAGAGAGCGGGTTCCTTAACTTCGCGTGTTACAGTCAGCCGCTCTAAACTTTCTTCCGTTTAAGATGGTCGTTACTGAAGTAATAATTACGAGGTGTCTCAGGCAGATTTCGGGAAATCGGCTTGCTTGTTGCACGGGCTTTTTTAGGCTTACAAATTTCATGATGTTAATGTCATATTTAGATAACCGTACCAATCATAAATTTATAATCCGTAGATTAAATTCGTGGGTTAGAGTGCTATACTCGTTTGTAGAAAGCCGTGTGATCGAACCTGAGTCGAGTCAGAAAATTTGTATTGTTAGAAATCCTAAATACGTCACCAATTCTTCTTCTTTTTATTATTATTATTATTATTATTATTATTATTATTATTATTATTATTATTTGGGTTGATGGTGATGGTGGTAGCAGTAGTGGTATTGGCAGTAGTAGCAGTAGCAATATCAGTAACTTTTTTTTAGGGAAGAAATGTATTACTTAATTGCATTGTTTTTGACGAATGTAACCTTAGATCTATTTGATTCAGGGGGAATAAAGACGAGGCTGAACTCGGGTAATGCTTGCTACCGTTCGGTCCAACACATTTTGTGTTCTTGCCTGCTGTCTAATGACATACAAATTAGAATATACAAAATTATAATTTTGCCTGTGGTTCTGTATGGGTGTGAAACTTGGCCTCTGACATTAACAGAGAAACACAGACTGAGTGTGTCTGAGAACAGGGCGTTGGGGAGAATATTTGGAGAGACATGAATTGACAGGAGGTTGTAGAAAACTGCATAATGAGGAGCTTCATAACTTGCACTCTTCTCCAAGTATAATTAGAATGGTCAAGTCAAGAAGGATAAGATGGGCAGGGCATGTAGTATGAATGGGGAGGAGTGCATTTAGGAATTTTGTAGAAAAGCTAGAAGGAAAGAGACCACTAGGAAGACCGAACGTAGGTGGATGAATACTATTAAAATGGATCTTAAAGAGATAGAATGGGGTGGTATGGACGGAATTAATCTGGCTCAGGATAGAGGACCAGTGGAAGGCTTTTTTGAATACGATAATGAACCTTCAGGTTCCATAAAATTTTAAAAAAATTCTTGAGTACATGCACAACTGGCTGTTTCGCAAGACAAGGTCAGCTCTGTGGAGTCTTTCAGACAGGTGTAGGTAAGTTACATGAAAGGAGTACTAGTGGAAGTGGCCTGTTATAGGGCACCTCAACGTAATTAATTTTGTATATATGAGGAATCGAACTTGGTACATATTGAACGCAGATCCGACGCCTGATCATGTTCAGCCACATAGGCGTACTGCCCTGAACACTATAAGGTACAACTTTCGAAAACACTGACAGATGTGAAATACATATTTCGAAATAGATTGTACTTGGCTGTTCTGTAAGTTCATGTGTTCACTCGCCGGAGATGGTCTCATATTGTCGTGGAGTAACTGTACTATTAAGGAAACTCACTTTCATGCCGTTAGAGGAACTGCAGTACTGATCTTGTCTTGCAGTTAACGGACGAATATTTCATATGGACTGCAGTTTCCTCCATGCAGAAACGCCATTATGCCACCAACCTAGCCTTGTCATAGAATTCGTTCGCTGCTTCTGCTCTTCCAGTTCCACCTCCACTGGCATCAAAACAAACAAAAGCAAACTCCGTGGTTTTAGTCCTCAAGCGAACTATTCCGACCGAGCGACCGCCGCTTGTCGGCGGTTTTTTTATTGCTAGTGGGTTGGGACTAAGTCCCTTGTACTGCGGCTACTTCTGGCCTATTGTACCAGCCCCAGATGATAGGTGAGGGTGATTGTGGAGCAATTGGTGGAATGAAGATTGGCAGGGGAAACCGAAGTACTCGGAGAAAACCTGCCCCAGCGCCACTTTGTCCACCACAAATCCTACTTGACCAGACCCGGGATCGAACCCGGGCCGCCGCAATGGGAAGCCAGCGACTAATCGCTTGAGCTATGGCGAAGTTAGTGACATCATACATTTTGTTTCCTACAGATTAGGCTACCAGCACAAACTTTACGGAGGTAAACCGACTACATTTCTCTGAAAAGGGAACATATCAGCCTTTCTGGAATTGGACATGTTTGTTTGTTTTTTTAGTTGACTAATTTAGTTACAAAGCCTGTCACAGTAACCGCGCGGTCTAAGGCATGGATTGTCCTCTCTCGCTCGGACGCTGGGATCGTGGGTTCGAATCCCAATCAAGACACGGATGTTTGGTGTGTGTATGCGTTTATTCTGCGTTTGTGTGTAGGTAGAGACATTGCGACCGGCTAATCCCCTGTCGAAGGAGTCATACCGTCTGTGAAAAATGATTACGGAACTGAATAAGAGGCCTGGACCCTGAATTGGCTGGAAGAGCCACTGAAAAGAAATAGTTACTAATTATAAATATGAACTGAAGGCATGAGTGAACACTCCACTCGTGCAATTTAAAAAGTTGTCCCTGTGCGAAACCAATTAAGCACTAAGCCATGAAGGCGTATGGAGGAGTGGATGTATAGGTTTAATTGTCATTTATAATTGTATTCGGAAAGTATACTTTTCGAGTTCTTGCTGCTTTACGGGCTCTCTTGACTGAACGTTGTCGTGAAATTCCTACATTCTCTGCAAATGAGTGCATGATAGCACGTGCCGTCCGCATGGCCTTCTTTCCCCATAACCTTATCTGTGGCCCTTGTGGCCCTTGGACAATTATTCAGTCGGTAAGACTTCTTGGACGGGGAATCAGCCAGTCTCTAGGCCGCTGCCTGCACACAGAAGAACACAAACACAGAATGCCTGCACACAGAAGAACACAAACACAGAATGCCTGCACACAGAAGAACACAAACACAGAATAGACCCAGACAGACCCATGATCTCAGCGTCCGAGTGAGCGAAAACAGTTCATGCCTTAGACTGCGTGGCCACTGTGATCGACCATAATCTTATGTACATACCACTGTCGCTCATATTCCCATTTCATTCGATGCTGCATTGCTTTTGAAGCTGAAACGGTGATGTTAAATAACCATAAGATTCTGCCAGTTTACTGGTGTTTATCGTTCTGACTTACCGGTACTGGAGAATAAGAGGTGCTGGAGTGGAGATAGAACTGCGCGCAGTTAACTTCGTGAAGTTGTTGTCAGTGTGAAATCATGTCTCAAAACCCCTCTGCGATGTCTTCGAGAAATGTTGAGAATTCCACCACCAGAATTCTTTGAACTGTTTTTTGCTATTCAGAATGATTATGGCGACCATAACCTGTAATTTTATTATAAAATAATCCTAATAGGACAACAATACACATGTGACTACGTTTTAGTCACTTTCATTCTCGTTACAAAAGAGCACAGAACAATATGAAACACGGAATAACAATTAAACTCATCGGACACACATTGTACAACAATGATGCTCATTCACCAATACACTGTGGTGAAGAGAGATGGTTTCTTATTCTCACTGCAGTCCGTAGTCTGATATCTGTGTTTGTGATCTTACGAAAGCGAGCACAGGGTTGTGAACGTTGTGAATGCACTAAGGAAATAGGGCGGAGAGACAGGCGCGCCAACTGGACTCGTCACAACGCAAGAGTGCCACAGCGTCTGCTTGCTTGCTGGCTCGCTAGGTTACTGTTACGAGCATAGATCCACACATAGTTACGGGCATCGTGCTGACTGGCGCTTGCGATGGAGTTTTCTGAAGCGGAACGTGACAGTAGTGGGAGTAGGGGGGGCGAAGAAGAGAAATTGAAGGAAATACAAGGAAAAAGTCATGCCGAGAAGAACAAGCAGATAAAACGAAAACACGAATTGTCATGATTAAATTGAACTGGGTGGTCGTTCTGTCTGCAGCTTTTAAAAGAATTTGAAAGGTCTTGAATTGTTTAAGGATTCATCAGAGAAAATTTGATGGCATGCTCTGGCGAGCCTCGGAATGCAAAAAGGTACTAGTATGCACGTGCCTTATGTTGTATGGATCGTAGACCATACACACATCGGCCACACAGACTGATGTATTATGTGATAAAGTTGGAGATTTTGTGTCACCAGAATTTATTGAATTGGGGAGGGATCCAGTTTTGCGGGTAAGAGCAGTCAGGTTTCTAAGTGAGGCAGAAACGTTTCTTACAAAAGTGCATTTCAGTTGTTCAAGACTGTTTTCAGCAACTGTCTAGAGTATTCAGGACAGGAGACTACATTATTAAAAATATTTCTGATTTGTATTGCTAATGTTTTGCATGAAATGTTCCTTAATTATCGATTTATTTCCAAAAATCCAAGAGGAAACCATAGTCATGCATGTATTTTTCCACGATGGGTCATTTTTAAAATCGATATTGCGAGGTGCCATATTCAATTCACTGCAAGATGGCAGCATACTCGACTCCATCAGAAATGTTTTTTTTTATTATTCTTACGTTTGAAGAACCGTCTAGGAAGTAATAATTTTGAACGTTGTTGTAAGTTGCTGCAATTGAGAAAATAACTTTTAATTATTGTTTAAATCGCCAAGACGGGCCTACAAGTGAACCTTATTTTATGAATTTAAATGAAGTGGCAATCGAATCACCAGTCTCCCCAAGCGGTGAACCTCAATCCTTTGCGTCTCGCGTCTCACCGTCATTTAGTAAAAAATCAGAGTCCCACCATACTAAAACCAAATTTGTTCTCTTTCAAAGAAGTGTACTTTCACAATTATGTTTTCTTCAGTATTACATTAATCAGTGATTGAAATTCTTATTTTTGAGACCTCGCGTACCTCTGACAGAAAACATTGCTTTACAAGTTCAGATTTTGAAATAAAAGACTTACTCATACAACATGTTCAAAAGGACTTTAATATATCGCCAGAAACATAAAAGATGTTACATAACAATTCCAAGGCGGGAACTTTCTTGAACGTAGCACTTTAACCTGATTGCACAGGTTACAAATCTCATTAGATGTTCTTCACACGCCCATAATATTAATATTGCCTTGTAGGAATAACTTTATCAACTTGGATGCGCTTGATTTGCGGATCCTAAAAGAATATGGATTTGAATATCCTGTCGGTCTGGAAAGTCATTTTTACAGAGACAAATATAAAATACGTTATATTAGGTAGGCCAATATGTGTTTAGCCTACAGCAACTAAAAACTGCTGCCTGAAGCCTTTGTTACTGTTATACATTTAAACGTATCTCTAGAATTTTCATCTTTAGGACTGAAACAAAAGAAATCTCAATCAGTTTTACATGAAGAATTATTTTGAAGAAAATTTCGTCAACGAAAAGAAGTTATGAAAGTTCGCTTATAAATAAATATTAAATGAAACTTCATGTCTCTAATTTTGTATACTAATACGTCATACAAATCTTTTATTAATTTTATTCTTTTGAATATCTGAGTCTCTAACAAATAGAGGTGGGGAGTTAGCTGGAATGATTTATGTTCACAGTTGATTCGAAGAGACTTGACACATCCAGCACAAGAAAGAAGGCAGTGACTGTAAAATAATAAAAAGTGATAGAGGTTCAAGCCGAAGACAGGGATTTTAAATAATGGAAATCTAGTTTTATTTTGTAAAAACCTTTTCAACGTACCTACCACAAAAATAGATAGCAATCCTTCACGCTTCTGCCATTGAGGCTTTCAAACAATGAACGGTGTCAGATCTTCTTGTGCAGTTCTCTCCGGATCCGCGTACGAGAGCTAAGAAAAAAGCGAAAGGCCAATTGAGATCAGCGATGCAGTTCTGGAGACGCGGCGCCCTGCCTTACACATGCCACGAGCTAGGCAAATGGCCTCGCGTTTCTCTTGCACTAATTCCATCTTGTGCCATTGGTTGCTGCAGTTTGGAATATTGTTGCTGTAGTAATGTGGCTCTATAACTCCACTCCGCCATATGCATTCTTAACCTCGCCACTAGGTGCAGATGAGTAGTCAGCTTCAAGCCCCGGCCGCTTTACTCCAGAGGAAAGAGCTTCCGGTAGCCATTGGTTAGGAGGCAGGGTGGGTCCCAATGGCGGTCTCGACACTGTGGAGAAGACAAGAATATTTGTCCCTGCCCCAAGTTGAACACCAAGCCCCCGGTCGTCCAGCCTGTAACCAATCGCTACATCTGCTGAGCTATCCCGGTTCTTGAAGGTGGAGAAGGGAGATTTTCATGTACAGTAACCGTGAATCCGGGTGTTAGAGGATGTTTGGTGTGAAGGTACTCCCAAGATGCGTTACCGTGTCATCTGCTTCTCTTTCGAGTCAAGAATCAAAGTTACTTTACGACTGGAGGTATACTGCCAATCAGTTCGTCTTGACGCCAAGCCCCTTGAGGCCCGCGACCAATTTTCTTTTTGACAACTGAATCATTGCAGTCGTAGACCTTGTGTAACATCCTCTCTAACGAGAGGATTGGTTTGTTTCTTATGAATATTCTTGGCCTTTTGTCAAATATGCTCGTACATTTCGCACATATACCATTTTATTAAGAATTCTTCCTTGTGCACTATATACAAATCCTCTTTCAGTCCAGGGTTTGCAAAGCAGATCATGCCTATCTTACTTACCTCATGCTACAACGCCAGCTTACTCACTTGAACGATCATAAACTTGACCGTCGCCAAGTTTAAGCCATTATATATTCTATGTCTGGCTTCGGTGTGTCCTATGCTGCGAACATGTTCATTCTCATGAATTTGTATGCTTATAGTATTCATTTCTTACCTCGTAGAAAACACTCTGCGTCGCCATTATAAAGATTTACTGTTTACCGTAGTTTATGGGAGCGCTGGATATTTAGTCTGAGAATGCATATGGGATGTGTGAGCAAACACGCAGAGTCTGCTGGTGTTAGAGCAGGTGTTACGTGTGGTACTGACTTTGCTACAAATGTTTAAATTCTGTTTAAAAATCAATTATATATATATATGTGTTTAGCCTACTTTCTTTATTTTGAAAAATGGAAGGAGGCTTATGGGATGACCTTGCTGTCTGTTTGTATCTGTACCCGTCTGCATATATTAATCTATCTCCCCTAATTTTTTATTCATATGAGATCATGTTGCCACCTGTCCGCGTGTTTCTCCCTCGATTTGTTTTAATTAGGAGGATAATGAATTCACCTTACTATCTGTGCTTCTTTGTCCAGCCTGATTTTTTCGTTCCTGTTCTCTTCGCGTCGCATCAAAGGCAAGTAGGTTATTACTTCTACCCAGAACTTCTTGTCAAGGTTCGGCCACACAGAGCGCTACGCTATGTTCGCTACGTACGCTACGTACTCTGTGTACACTCTGCGACGCAGCTAACATGGGGAACATAGCGTACGTAGCGCACGGAAGTCTGTGTGGCCAGTCACATTGGCAATAAAGGGATATATTTTTCTGTTAGTGTAGCGAACATAGCGTACGTAGCGCTCTGTGTGCCCGAACCTTCATGCTTGTAAAATGAAGGACTGACACCAGATTGATTTATTCATGTTTGCGTTTGTTACTTAATATGCTACAATATTTAGGCTATCTATCTCGGTATGTTCGAAATTAGCTTTCATACGGTTGCCTGGGCTTCGATTTAGACCAGTGATCATCAGCTTGGGGTGGCCTTTGTCTGCGTCATGCAGAATTCTTCTGTCGTTTTAACCAGTGCAGCTAATGGTGTTTAACACGCCATTGTGTTCTGAGATTTGAGGATCTCATGGTATTCACGGCAGGTTACAGGGATTGCTTTACTTTTAGTTAACTAACCAAGAGGTTGGCCGATCACAGTGGCCGCGCGGCCTAAGGCATGAACAGTCTTCGTTCGCTCGAAATCTGGGATCATGGGTTCGAATCCAACTCAAGGCAAGGATGTTTGTCTGCGTTTATTCTGTGTTTGTGTTGTCCTGTGCAGGTAACGACCTGACGACAGACTGATCCCCTGTCCAAGGGTCCTACCGGCTGTCCTAAGATTAAGAACCTGAACTGAAACGAGCGTTTCACGGATCTATGCTCCAAAGTGAGGAGCAACAGGAAAGAGAGAGAGAGAGAGAGAAAAAAAGAGAAAGATGAAGTGTGAAACCTAAAGCTTCAACCTTTCTAATATAAAAACTTGGTTAGGATATGATCCATTTTTCTCTGAACCCCCCCCCCCACTGGAATGGGCAAAACCAGATACAAACAGAAATGAGGCGACAGAACGCACTCGAAATCCGCGGTTGATGGGAGATTTGTGTAATATCTCTTCAGAACAGACCCAACACGTGTGTTATTTCCTTTGCTGTAGTCTGTATTGCGCCATGCGTGGGACACACGGACACTGGTAATGTGGGCCAGTACAGATCCATTTATGCAAATGTTCTCCCTCTCCCGTGCGCACTCTAGTGGTGTGAATATCTTTAGTCTTTTGTTTCCCGAAGTGAAAAGAGCCGACCGGTACCGCTGTCTGAGGTACATTGTTCTTTCTGTCGAGGACTATGACGACTGTGGGCTGCTTTCGAAGGCCGACCTGATTGTTATTATGGGTGTATGAAACACTGTACTCTGTCTCCTGCTTGAATGCATAATTACGCGACCACTACTGCATTCCAATGGGTGCGGTACGGGTTATGTTAGATTCAATTAATATTTTTATATGTTACGTCGATGTGTGCAGCACTATTGACGGTATGCAAGGCT